TTACAAGGCAATTGGCACTTTGACAGAAACAATACATATATATACACCATTGTACGACTGGCAAGATCTTTAAATGGCAGCATGGAAATTAAATGCAATTCATTGTCAGTATCCTGTCACAGATCTCAAGAAAACGGTTCTCGCTGATCAAACCAGCTAATAAAATAGAGTTCTAAAACCTGCATAAAATCTATTTCATTATTCCTTAGTATTATCATGTTATTTACAAAGCATATTAACACAAATTCTGTATGGACTATAGCACCCTGCACCTCTGCTCAGTTCACACAGCTCTGATCTAAATGTAAGTTTATTGAAAATTTATTCATCCTTTCTAGATGAGAAGTTTTTGAAAGGATGAATTCAATGACTATTATAACAGATAAGAATATGCTCAATTGGCCAAGTAAGTTGCGTTAGTCAGAAATTGAGAAATAAGATTAAGTACAAAGAGACTGTATTCTGTTTTAACCTGTTAGCATGATCAATGAGAGTATTCCTTTATCATCAAAGCAAAGTTGTTTTTATCTCAATATCAAACTTTAATTGTACATAATTCTACAGACGAAGGCAAAACAAAAATAGCAAAGATTGAAAAATTGAAAACCATGGAAACCATTTCTAAACATAAATAAAAAAAATATACATAAAACAGTGATGTATATCATATCTAGTTACTAATGTGAAAAATGTAACCATAGAAACCAGCTCTAAACAAAAAACATACACATCTAACAAAGTAAACTAAGTGGTTTTAAGTCTATATATTAAGCTATAGTAAAACTCCATCAACAATTTGATAATGACTTTATATAGTGTCACATCTGTAAAATCTTAATATGATATGATATTCTGAATATTGAAACAAATATTTACAGTAGCCCAAGCTCTCGAACATACCCACGCTAAAGAGTATCGTGTATATAAAGTGACGATTATCAATGTCTATTATACCTGTGGCTAGAATAGACAGGATACATAACACCTTAACATGATTTCAACTAATTACATATCACATATAAATGATAGAATTCTTTAATAAAATCCCATGACTAGAATTATTTCACCCAAATTTATAAATATCCTTTATCTCAATTAGCCTTCCTGATCAAGAATAACAATTGTGAAATGACTTAGACTAGAGTCTTCCTGAACAAAAATGAAAATTGTCAAATGACACTGATTGAGCTTCTTCATCAAGAATAACAATTATCAAATGACTGACTGATTAGACTTCCTGATAAGAATTAAATTGTCAATTGACTTAGATTAGACTGACTATATTTGCTCTATCTGAACTCAGATTCCCTTATACAAATTAACATTACACAGATGAAGCATGTCTTAAACTGTAATTAAGTGTAGGATTAAAATTTGCAGCCTTCAACAAAGCCATATATAAGATATTAACACCTTGAAGAAAAATATTTTTAAAATGTGGTAATTTGCAACCATTTCACAAAATGTCATCTGAAAATTATTTGGGACCTAGTCACATTAAGCAAAAAACATGAGCAGAAAATAGTCATTTTCTCACATTTGGAATGTTTGGCTGTGGTTTAATGGGGTGTACTGTAAAAACACATGTTCTCAAACACACTTGAGTTTTAACACATTTCAAATTTCCACAAATAAGTGCATTAATCAAATATGCACAACTGCAATATCTGAAAAAAAAAATGCTGCGATGTGCACAATCCCAATTTAGGTTTTATGTGCCAATTGAAATAAGGTTACTGCTGAAATATGTATTTTTACAGTAAAACGAGTACCAATATTTAAAGGATGGGTATTACAATATAGCTTTGGTGTCTTAGGCCAGCTTGTAATAAGTAAAAGATACAAACACTCCTATGCTACTTGTGTTTCTGCAAGAAAATCAAAACAGAAAAATCAATTAAAGAACAGGGAAATAATTAAGTGAAAACAAATTAACAGAAGAAAATTTCAACACAACTAGAAAAAGGAGGCTAACAAAATCTAGAAGGAAAAACAGAAAGTAAAACCTTTAAAACAGAAATTTCCTATATTCAAATGTTTCTTCAATGAGTACAAACACTCCTTCACCAATATTAATCTTTTATCTAATAAGGAAAAAACCCCAAAACTCAGGAGCTCATAAAACACTTTGGTTTTGGAATAAATGCACTGGTATATTTCTTGACTGACAGTAACGTCCAAGATAAAGCTGATATATAAAGATACACTGACATTGTAGTGACTCCCACTCGTTCACTGAAAGACCGAAAGATCGTAATTGTGGACGTTAAACTCGTTAATATAAATAAAGTCACAATAAATAGCGATTCCTTCGTTCAATTCTGATCCTGATCAGTAATTCCTTTTACAGTTAACTTAACATGTGATCTACTATAACTAAACAAAGTACTTAGTCTGATTTGGTAATTGCCTACAGACCTCTACAATATTTTTATCTGAATTTGGGAATACACTGTTCACAGAATCACAATTCTGCTTTCCTTAGCTTAAAGTATTTAAAGAGTATATATTCTAGTTGATGAGCTCCAAATTTGATTCCAAATCAAGGCCAGGAGTAAATATCACTGAAAATCTAATACTGGTCGAACCCCGGCCTTGATTGGAGAGTCAGGTCAACATTACTCAAGATTTTTAAAAATAGAAAAAAAAATAAGTCTGTATTTAAAGTACATTTGTACTGAGATTTTTCACAAAGTGAAAAACACAGCCCACACCGGTCAAGGTATATCTGACTACTACAAACCACTGGTTTTAATTGGTCAATATCAACTTATGTTAAGTATGAACAAAAAGATTTCCTGATTCACAGCTATTACACAGCTGTATTCTCTCAGCCAGGGTATGTTGCATAGTGATGTTATATGAACCCATTGTATAATCAACGTCTCCTGTATTCTGGACATTCTCTATTGTGTAAATATGTTAACAAAAAATCATGAATAGCGGATGTTAAATACAATGAAAAACTCACGTAATCATTTATAACATTAGATATGCTTATGTTACTTTCTGAAAGTACATATAATAAACGAAATGACTATTCAATTTGATTCTATAATTATCTATTAATCATATAATTTAGACGCATGCTTTCTCACATACAATCTAATTTCAGCCAATCAGAGTGCTCCATCCCATCACCATGATTTATAAGATATAATTTTTCAGTAATCAATATTTTTAGAATTATTGTTCTAATTTTACTGTCAGTTGATAGCGTTGGAGGGCTATAGATATTAAGTCAAATACAGTAACATGCATGTAAAATTCTTCACAATGATTAATGGTCATTATGTATAATTGTTTAAAAATGAAGTCATATTGGTATCTCCTCCATCAACATCTGCCGAAGGTACAAACTAACATGACTGACTGTCTTCCAGATTTGAAATACATTCTTTTCCATACAATTTGTTAAACAAGCACACCAACAGACAGCATACATCCTATTAACGTTAAAGGCACATCATGGTATTCAATTATTCACAAACCAGATGAAAAACACAAAAAATAGAAGCATGAACATTAGTATATACAACATGTGCCATTTGTTGACTAAAGATTTTGTTAAGCTACATAAACAGATAGAAAACTACAGATTTCCCACTAAGTTAAAAATACTAATTAAGACTTCCACTAGACTAAACAATATTTCCCACTAGGCTTAAGTATCAAGAAGTTCAACTGCCGAAAACAGTAGGAACTAAAACAATTTTTTGCTGCAAGTCCATCCATTTGGAGCTAATTTTCCTTAACAATGACCTCAACACTACTGGAAATTACCGTCAAACTTGTTAATTGCTTTCTTTGAGCACAACAGCTTGTAAAAGTGATCTTTTCCTTAAAAATAAAAATGAGAGCTCTTTCATCATTTGAACTGGAATGTTGGTATTTTAATATTGCTTCGATGACTTAAACATTTAAAAAAATAAAAAGAAGCAACATAATGTTACTAAGAAGGAATGTTATACACATAGTTATCTCCCTTGGTCAGTATGTTCCCAGTAATAATTAAAATAAAATATAATTGAACTTAAACAGTATAAGAAAGTTAAAAAATAAAATAATTTGCCTCCTGTTGCAATTTTCTAACTTGAGTATCACAGATATTGTTTGACATAGGAAATTATTCAAGCCATTATTGGAAAGATTACAATCATTTTATCAAGCTGTGATAAAACTACGTGCGAGTCCTGAGTTCTGTACTTATAGAATTTTTATGGTACTCAAGGAATTTCTGGAAACACTTAAATGTTACATTGTGGGACCTGTGGTTTTTAACAATAAAGTTGAAAAGGTCTCATGAAAACTGACCAAGTGTGTAGGTCAAACCTGGAAGTTGAAGGTCATTATAGAAAATAGTCTCATTCAAAACAATATAAGCCCCAAAGTGGTGTCATTATCTCCTTATATTATTACATATTATTATATATCATACACCCATGGAATTCTGTTTAGAATAACTTTAGGTGTGGGCGGACAGTGTCTTGTGTGTCTTCAAGAGAAGTAATCCATGGCCATATTTGATCTGTGATGACCGAATCTCAAGAAATTTCATTCTTGAACTGCAAATTTATATTCCTAGTCTGTCGACAATACCTTGGCTGTTAACAATACAACTCCATTATTTTTATATAAAATAATTACTGAAGTCAACTGTGATGTACAAAAACCAACATCTGGATTCCATTCAGAAGGATAAAGTATTACCTTACCATCCATCACCTATTCTGTAAACATACTTATCTTAGCAGTGTGAAATTCTAATGTATCATAAATTTACAGCACAGAGTCAAATTTTAACACATCAGTGCAATTGATGAATTTGTTGAAAATCCTTGTATGGCATAGTAAAGACATACTTCTTGAAACAGCTAGAATTATTAAGCATGAAAAAATATTATGATTTAAAAACTGCTGAAATAAGTTATGTTTACAAAGTTCAACTAATTAACATCAACCTTTCAATCTTGTTCATATTCCCATTGATGTTAGTTGGATGCTATATTTACACATTGGAAGAAATGGATTCCTATCCTATTTGATACACAATCTTGTATTGTGTTATTCTATATAAGGGAGCCATATTCAGGACACTATGCATGATTGTGTGGAAAGTGGAATTTAGATTCTTGATTTAACAATCTGGGTTGCCGGCCACTTTTATGTTTATTTACTTTACCGCCATGTTTGGGCGATGGAGTGTGTTGATTCTCAGCTATTTTGCGTGGTTCTACATCCTTATTGAGTGGTGGAGCAGGTCCCACATTTTTATCTCCCTTCCCTTTCGCATTAGCTTCCATTTCTCCTGCCTGGTTAGAATCATGATTCGCTAAGTTATGATTGTCATGATTTTTGTCCATCTCATCAGCCACATTGGAGTCCTCCTTATTTGCCTTTTTTACTTTCATGTGACCACCAGGGGGAGCCACCTGGTGTCCTTGTTGTTCTGCGTCAAGGAGATCATTATTCCTATGTGGTAATGGTTGGTCTGGTCTCTGTAGAGAGTAACCAATCAGAGAGCTCTCAATCATCCTACTCTTTACTGGCAACAGTTGTCAAACTAAACATAGCCTTGTATCCACTACATCAACATTTCCTCCGAAATTTGAAGTGTAATAAAAAGTTTGGGAATGGTCAATTTTCTCAATACACATTTTTTGTAAAGAAACTATGATCAATTTTTTTTTGTTCTCCAAAGAATTCTACAATAGATATATTCAGATTGCTAAAAGACTGATTACACATTCCCTCAAGGCCTTTCATGCTCATAGATTTTCCCTCCATTTTGTTGTTTTGGTTGTTTTCCCAATCATTAGGAAGATTGTTTTCTTACAAAGATCAGAAATAAAGATATCATTATCATACATAAAGCCAGGCAGATCCTATTGTATTCCTAATATAATCATAATGTTAATAAAATTGACTGCAGACAGATGCTGCACAATGACATCAAAGAAAAAAATTATCTAGACACCACTAACCCATAAGATACACGTGTGTTAGTCTTCTAAGTTCTAACCAATGTATAGAAGGAAAATATTAGAAGTAAAATAAAAGACATAGTTAAATAAAAAGATATAAAACAAACATCTGCATAGAAATAACAAGCACATAGCACACACAAGTAGTCACATAAACAGTCAAACACAAACCATACAATAATACAATTATTGTTCATTTTGTATCACCCTCGGACATATTCTTCTAAAGTAAGATTTACGAAAATAGAAATGGAGGCAATTACATCACTTTAATATATAAACCAAAAGCAGTTAAGGATGTATGCTACATTACTCATTTCATTCTTCAGGTTTTGTTTTTGTTTTCAAATGTCATTCTTAATGATAAATATTTTAGACTTTTAAAAAAAAAATCAAATCAATATTTTTTTCAAAATTTGTTTCACGTGAGTTTGAACTCCAATTATTTGTGTAATATTGATTTTTTGTTTATCAATACTGTATGAAGTTTTATATATAGTCTACCCACTTAATTGATTTCTTTGATTTGAAACTCTTTTGTATGTCACTATCAACATGTATATAACATTTAAAACAACTTGACAGTCAGTTCCAATACAGAGACCAGAGTACATCAACAGCTACCATACATTAGGTTTAGCCACATTGACATTGCCTACCTCTCTGGGAGGTGGAATATTTTGCTGTGGATTGTCATCGACATTGGGTGGATCTACATTGTCATTAGCTGGTGGAGCAGGTCCAACTTGTTTATCTCCCTTTGGGTCAGGCTCCATTTCCCCAGCCTGGTTGGAATCAGCCTTCTTGTTTTTCATACTTTTGTCACCAAATGGATTTTTATCCATCTCACCGGCCATATTGGAATCTGGCTTTTCTACCTTGATATGCTCCCCAGGGGGAGCCACCTGATGTTGTTGTTGTTCTGCATCCAAAACAGCATTAGCATTGACATCTTGTTTTACCTTTACCTGATCTGGGTTGGCTCCAAACTTCTGTTCTCCATAATGATTCTGTAGGGTAGAGTCACCAATCAGAAAGGTTTTCTCAAAAATGGCTGCCGACTTAACGTAAATCTACTGTTAACATAGTTTTACCTTTTGATAAATATTCTATACCAATTTAGACAAACCAGTTTAGTTATATATCAACAATTAAATTCTAACATAAAGGATTTTTTTGTAAATTAAGACCCTTATCATTGATTCACCTTTCCCTTTATTTCAAGTTACTAATCTGAAATGATATTATGAACTTTTTAAGTTCATACCCTTGGAAAATCTTCATTGCTTCTGATCTCCCAGGTATATCAAACACATTTTAAAAACAAGTACAACGAAAAAACTTCAATAAAAGGTTGAAACAAAAATGTCATCACTGAATACTTCAGACAACATGCACTTCTCAAAATTGAATCCTCTACTTCGAAGATTTTCAATTCAAAATGCATTTGGATATATCTTAAAACAGCAAGAGAGGGAAAGATGACAAGATGGAACAAATCCATGAGATCATAGATAGAACAGAGGATCTAGTATCAGAAGGTTCACGACCTGTAGATAGAACAGAGGCTCTAGTATCAGAAGGTTCACGACCTGTAGATAGAACAGAGGCTCTAGTATCAGGAGGTACAGGACCTGTAGATAGAACAGAGGCTCTAGTATCAGAAGGTTCAGGACTTGTAGATAGAACAGAGGCTCTAGTATCAGGAGGTTCAGGACCTGCAGATAGAACAGAGGCTCTAGTATCAGAAGGTTCACGACCTGTAGATAGAACAGAGGCTCTAGTATCAGAAGGTTCACGACCTGTAGATAGAACAGAGGCTCTAGTATCAGAAGGTTCACGACCTGTAGATAGAACAGAGGCTCTAGTATCAGAAGGTTCAGGACCTGCAGATAGAACAGAGGCTCTAGTATCAGAAGGTTCATGACCTGTAGATAGAACAGAGGCTCTAGTATCAGAAGGTTCATGACCTGTAGATAGAACAGAGGCTCTAGTATCAGAAGGTTCACGACCTGTAGATAGAACAGAGGCTCTAGTATCAGAAGGTTCACGACCTGTAGATAGAACAGAGGTCTAGTATCAGAAGGTTCACGACCTGTAGATAGAACAGAGGTCTAGTATCAGAAGGTTCACGACCTGTAGATAGAACAGAGGCTCTAGTATCAGAAGGTTCACGACCTGTAGATAGAACAGTGGCTCTAGTATCAGAAGGTTCAGGACCTTCAGATAGAACAGAGGCTCTAGTATCAGAAGGTTCACGACCTTCAGATAGAACAGAGGCTCTAGTATCAGAAGGTTCACGACCTGTAGATAGAACAGAGGCTCTAGTATCAGGAGGTTCAGGACCTGCAGATAGAACAGAGGCTCTAGTATCAGGAGGTTCAGGACCTGCAGATAGAACAGAGTCTCTGGTATCAGAAGGTTCGTGACCTGTAGATAGAACAGAGGCTCTAGTATCAGAAGGTTCACGACCTGTAGATAGAACAGAGGCTCTAGTATCAGGAGGTACAGGACCTGTAGATAGAACAGAGGCTCTAGTATCAGAAGGTTCACGACCTGTAGATAGAACAGTGGCTCTAGTATCAGAAGGTTCACGACCTGTAGATAGAACAGAGGCTCTAGTATCAGAAGGTTCACGACCTGTAGATAGAACAGAGGCTCTAGTATCAGAAGGTTCACAACCTGTAGATAGAACAGAGGATCTAGTATCAGAAGGTTCACAACCTGTAGATAGAACAGAGGCTCTAGTATCAGGAGGTTCAGGACCTGTAGATAGAACAGAGGCTCTAGTATCAGAAGGTTCACGACCTGTAGATAGAACAGAGGCTCTAGTATCAGAAGGTTAACGACCTTCAGATAGAACAGAGTCTCTGGTATCAGAAGGTTCGTGACCTGTAGATAGAACAGTGGCTCTAGTATCAGAAGGTTCACGACCTGTAGATAGAACAGAGGCTCTAGTATCAGAAGGTTCACGACCTGTAGATAGAACAGAGGCTCTAGTATCAGAAGGTTCACGACCTGTAGATAGAACAGAGGCTCTAGTATCAGAAGGTTCACGACCTGTAGATAGAACAGAGGCTCTAGTATCAGAAGGTTCACGACCTGTAGATAGAACAGAGGCTCTAGTATCAGAAGGTTCACGACCTGTAGATAGAACAGAGGCTCTAGTATCAGAAGGTTCACGACCTGTAGATAGAACAGAGGCTCTAGTATCAGAAGGTTCACGACCTGCAGATAGAACAGAGTCTCTGGTATCAGAAGGTTCATGACCTGTAGATAGAACAGTGGCTCTGGTATCAGAAGGTTCATGACCTGTAGATAGAACAGAGGCTCTAGTATCAGAAGGTTCACGACCTGTAGATAGAACAGAGGCTCTAGTATCAGAAGGTTCACGACCTGTAGATAGAACAGAGGCTCTAGTATCAGAAGGTCCACGACCTGTAGATAGAACAGAGGCTCTAGTATCAGAAGGTTCACGACCTGTAGATAGAACAGAGGCTCTAGTATCAGGAGGTTCAGGACCTGCAGATAGAACAGAGGCTCTAGTATCAGAAGGTTAACGACCTTCAGATAGAACAGAGTCTCTGGTATCAGAAGGTTCGTGACCTGTAGATAGAACAGTGGCTCTAGTATCAGAAGGTTCACCTGTAGATAGAACAGAGGCTCTAGTATCAGGAGGTACAGGACCTGTAGATAGAACAGAGGCTCTAGTATCAGAAGGTTCAGGACTTGTAGATAGAACAGAGGCTCTAGTATCAGGAGGTTCAGGACCTGCAGATAGAACAGAGGCTCTAGTATCAGAAGGTTCACGACCTGTAGATAGAACAGAGGCTCTAGTATCAGAAGGTTCAGGACCTGCAGATAGAACAGAGGCTCTAGTATCAGAAGGTTCACGACCTGTAGATAGAACAGAGGCTCTAGTATCAGGAGGTACAGGACCTGTAGATAGAACAGAGGCTCTAGTATCAGAAGGTTCACGACCTGTAGATAGAACAGTGACTCTAGTATCAGAAGGTTCAGGACTTGTAGATAGAACAGAGGCTCTGGTATCAGAAGGTTCAGGACCTGTAGATAGAACAGAGGCTCTAGTATCAGAAGGTTCACGACCTGTAGATAGAACAGAGGCTCTAGTATCAGAAGGTTCACGACCTGCAGATAGAACAGAGGCTCTAGTATCAGAAGGTTCAGGACCTGCAGATAGAACAGAGGCTCTAGTATCAGAAGGTTCACGACCTGTAGATAGAAGAGGCTCTAGTATCAGAAGGTTCACGACCTGTAGATAGAACAGAGGCTCTAGTATCAGAAGGTTCATGACCTGTAGATAGAACAGAGGCTCTAGTATCAGAAGGTTCACGACCTGTAGATAGAACAGAGGCTCTAGTATCAGAAGGTTCAGGACCTGCAGATAGAACAGATGCTCTGGTATCAGAAGGTTCAGGACCTTCAGATAGAACAGAGGTTCTAGCATCAGAAGGATCAGGACTTGTAGATAGAACAGAGGCTCTAGTATCAGAAGGTTCAGGACTTGTAGATAGAACAGAGGCTCTAGTATCAGGAGGTTCAGGACCTGCAGATAGAACAGAGGCTCTAGTATCAGAAGGTTCAGGACTTGTAGATAGAACAGAGGCTCTAGTATCAGGAGGTTCAGGACCTGCAGATAGAACAGAGTCTCTGGTATTCAGGACCTGTAGATAGAACAGAGGCTCTAGTATCAGAAGGTTCACGACCTGCAGATAGAACAGTGGCTCTAGTATCAGAAGGTTCATGACCTGCAGATAGAACAAGTGTAATATCACACCGTTGATGAAATGTCCAGAAATCATCAATTTAGAGCAGCAGTTTAGTGACCTTAAAATTTTCAATACAAGGTCAGCATCATTCCATTTGAGGCTTTGGTATATAATTATTCCCATGACCAACATTTCAGAACAACAACACGGAGTACTTCAAATTATAAAGTGCCTGGATATACTTCTTCACCTTTTAAGCTTAACAGAGTAAAAATCAGCCAGGTAAAAAGCCAGGTAAAAATCAATTAAAGAGATACCTATTGGATGAAATCAGACTATAAAAGAGGAGATTTTAAAAGCATTCTAAGACTTATAAACAGCTGATAGACTGGGTTCAAGTGTGATGCATGCTTTGGAGTAGAATGATAATCATGAATATAAATGGTATATAAAAGGTGTATTTTGGGGGGTAAATACTAAAGAAAAATTTCCATAAAAAATCCAGATGTAAATTTTGCCACCTAGTATAGATACTTGATATGATGAAACCAGGGATCTGCTGATCAGATTAAAAAAGGGTGAATAATTGATCTATTGCACCAGCCTCTGATCATATTACACATATCTGATTGGTGTAATATGTGAATATAAAACCAAATTTCACCAGTGATTCCCTTAACACAAAAGAAATGTGAACATCAAACCAGAAGGATTTGTTAATCCACAACTGAATTATAAATATCGGAAGGTATTTGACCAGAACTGAAGACAAATAAATCTGATAAGGTTGAAAATATAAGAATCTTGAATCCTTCACTAGATTATGTGAATCCCTCACCAGACAACAAACATGTGAATCCCTCACCAGACAACAAACATGTGAATCCCTCACCAGACAACAAACATGTGAATCCCTCACCAGACAACAAACATGTGAATCCCTCACCAGACGACAAACACGTGAATCCCTCACCAGACGACAAACACGTGAATCCCTCACCAGACGACACACACGTGAATCCCTCACCAGATAACAAACATGTGAATCCCTCACCAGATGACACACATGTGAATCCTTCACCAGATAACAAACATGTGAATCCCTCACCAGATAACAAACATGTGAATCCCTCACCAGACAACAAACATGTGAATCCCTCACCAGACAACAAACATGTGAATCCCTCAACAGATAACAAACATGTGAATCCCTCACCAGATAACAAACATGTGAATCCCCTCACCAGATAACAAACATGTGAATCCCTCACCAGATAACAAACATGTGAATCCCTCACCAGACAACAAACATGTGAATCCCTCACCAGATAACAAACATGTGAATCCCTCACCAGACAACAAACATGTGAATCCCTCACCAGATAACAAACATGTGAATCCCTCACCAGACAACAAACATGTGAATCCCTCACCAGACAACAAACATGTGAATCCCTCACCAGACAACAAACATGTGAATCCCCTCACCAGATAACAAACATGTGAATCCCTCACCAGATAACAAACATGTGAATCCCTCACCAGATAACAAACATGTGAATCCTTCACCAGATAACAAACATGTGAATCCCTCACCAGATAACAAACATGTGAATCCCTCACCAGACAACAAACATGTGAATCCCTCACCAGACAACAAACATGTGAATCCCCTCACCAGATGACAAACATGTGAATCCTTCACCAGGTGACAAACACCTGAATCCTTCACCAGATAACAAACATTTGAATCCCTCACCAGATTACAAATAGTTCTGTTAATTTTCGATACTAGGATGGATTCCTAAGGAATACACAAGTCTGGTACTAGTAACGTATAAACAATAAGTATAGGTAACCGGACAACATCCAAGGAAGACCTTCATCAGGCTTATATGTTGACATGTTTCGGAATTCTAGGTATGCAGCCCTCAGAACAGTGCAACAATTCAAAATACAGGACTTATATAGTACCTCTGTCTAGCAAATACACATGTTGTTCAAATTGATGTAATAGATGATACATAGCATACAATGATGTGATCTTTTGATAAAGTCACATGAAATTTGAACATTCCTCTGAAGAAATAGTGATAATAATCTTTACCTAAAAAATCCATGATGGCCTCTGTCTGCCATTTTGTTTTTCTGTTCAGTCCAAAATAAAACAGACAAAACTAGGGACCAAGGGGAATCTACATATGAAATTTATAAAAGATCCATCCATTTCAAACAATAATTGTTTGTGGACAGACGGGAAACATCTGATAATTGTGGTCTATAATCAACAAGTAAATCTGCAACGCTCCATCAGGATACCACTTGAAATGTCACCATGTAATACCACTGTTCACCTTAGTTCTATCATTATGCATTTATCGTAAGAACCCATATGCTACTGAAAACCACTTTTCTATCATCTCTGTAATCACTGTAACAGTGGCGATGATATACTGAAATGGCATGACTACAAAATGTACAGCAGTAATACAGCATCACATTGTTATGGAACAATCCTAAGGACATATTACTGTTAATTAGGACAGAACCAACACAATACATATTCAGGCCACCAGAGAACCATTAATCCATTTTAGGGCACTACCTGGCCTCTGCCAACATAGACCACATAATACCAGAGCACTGCCATTGTAGTACCTTTGCTTGCTTCTGCCGAAATTTTAATAAAATTCCTACCACCACCTGCCATATTGCTGATTTTGTTGCTGATATTCTGACAATGTACACATAAATATTGTTAATTAGAATTTGACATTGTTATGATATTGTACTCAAAATCAATAAATTGTACAAACTCTTTCATATATACATTAGTATGTCAGTTGATGACATCATTCCCAGGACTTGTTATTAACTTCTAACTCTGAAAGTGTTGGCAGATATACCTTACATAATTTATCAACACACCTTTCACGGGTGAGATTTACGGTAAATATGCTGCAGGGTAGAGATCTACATCTTACGGTAAATATACACAGGAGAAACATATCTCTTACGGTAAATATGCTGCACAGGAGAGATATATATCATACGGTAAATATGCTGCACAGGAGAGATTTATGTCTTACGGTAAATATGCTGCACAGGAGAGATTTATGTCTTACGGTAAATATGCTGCATGGGAGAGATATATATCTTACGGTAAATATGCTGCACGGGAGAGATATATATCTTACTGTAAATATGCTGCACAGAAGTGATTTATATCATATGGTAAATATGCTGCATGGGAGAGATTTATGTCTTACAGTAAATATGCTGCATGGGAGAGATATATATCTTACGGTAAATATGCTGCACAGGAGAGATTTATATCATATGGTAAATATGCTGCATGGGAGAGATTTATATCATATGGTAAATATGCTGCAAAGGAGAGATATATATCTTACTGTAAATATGCTGCACAGAAGGGATTTATATCATATGGTAAATATGCTGCATGGGAGAGATATATATCATACGGTAAATATGCTGCATGGGAGAGATATATATCTTACGGTAAATATGCTGCACGGGAGAGATTTATATCTTACAGTAAACATGCTGGAGAGGAGAGATTTATATCTTGCAGTTAATATGCTGCACGGGAGAGATATATATCTCACGGTAAATGTGCTGCAACATCACACATCCAGGTACAACTATCACTAAAATTTCTTTTTCTTCATTTGAAATTACAGGTGTAATTATTTGGAAAGGCCCCAATAAATGTGCACGGATCGTTTGAAATTGTGGACCACTGGCTATAGAGTACTTTTTGAGAAACAAAACTAATTAAATGAAAGATCAATGTCTACATCATTAGGAAAAGTTTCATCTTTGTCTCATTTTTAAGGCAGTATATATTTATTGACATAATAACTGTAAACCTTTCATAAGGCATTACAATAACTTTTAATTTTGTAATAACCATTGATATAAATAACTGGGATATACTGTTCATAATATCGTGACTAGTAAATTTTTATGATTAAATGTCAGAGATGTTTCAGATAAATGAAAACAACCCATGAAATCAATATTTTTGATACATTAGTAATTAGTGATGAATAATAAAGACAGCTTTGTTAAACCAATGTGTAGTATGTATCACAATATTATTTCAAATATTTGAATCACTCATGGGGAATATACATTATATGCCAAACATTTGATGTCCTTTATAACTCTCACCACAAATCAATTAGTGTTAGCCTGAAAACCAAAATACTTCTGATCTGCTAACTTGCAGTCCAATAACTACTGATAACTGTTCATAGGCAGTTTTAATGGAGCCTCATCTGATCATTCCTCTTTAGATGAGTTCAAATATAATCAATAGTTAGTTGTTGTCTCTCTGATTCAAATCACATATTAAGTCTTGTTTCTTTGCTATTGGCCTTGAGTCACATACAAATGATCTTGTATCACAAGACAGTTCAAGTCAAAGTTACAACGTAAAACAAAGTTGTACGCATGCAACAGAAGTTAAGATACCTATTACTGTATGTGTCCTACAATAAGCCCAGGGAGCCAACAGATTATTTCAAACCCAGAGATGTTGTACAGGCATATATATATATATATATATTGGTAGGCTTGTAAACCAGGCAGGAGCTTATTGCTGGAGACATACATTATGCTTAGCAGATAATATTTCTGTCTTCAAGTACTGTAAAAATTGCTGAATTTTCAATTTTTCCCTACAATCAATTCTTCTTGTGTTTTTAAAAGAATGTACAGTTTGCTTATCTAACTCAGTATGGTACAAATCATCAATTTGTTTCCATACCAACTATCATATTAAACAAATGTCCTGAAAACTGAGTTAATAATAGAAGAATCTGTAATAACTTTGTGGTATAAGGAACCAATCAAAACAGTTTTTACAGATGTTGATGAATCTGTAATTACATTGTGGAAAAATGAACCAATCAAAACAGTTTTTACAGATGTTGATGACAGAACATGTCTATCATGCTGATTTAGTCGGAAAAAGTCAGTTAAAGGACAAAGAGTTAGAACTGATATTTGCTTGGTTATAAAGGCAAATAGCTCCATGCATCAATTAAAGGAGTGGTGAAAGATGCAACAAGAATACAACAGAATCCAGAATAAACATTCTTGACTAAATATGAATTTTTTTTAAACACAACTGGCCTAGATTTTAGCAACAAAATAAATTTTTTTCATCAAAGAACAATTGCAAAACAAGTTGTCCAACTTATACGAATTACTCGTCAGCTCTGATGGGAGTATGTGAGGGTTCTTAATGTGGATGGAAATCAGAGTACCCTTGGAAAACCATGTGGTCAGGCAAGTGACTTCCTTAAGTTATCACATCTATTTGAGAAATTGAACCGCGGAAAGGTGATAAAATTTTGTCACCCGACCACTACAGAGTTTATCCATCATTGAAGAAATCCTCTGTTTATCTCTAGAGACATATTCGATCCAAATCTACTGCTGACCTTTTGTTATATAATGATATAGTAATACTGATCTTTTTTTATGAATTTCACTTTGAAAGATAACCACCTCTCTCCAACTTTTAAAGATTTTTTTCTCTTTTTTTATTGCTACATACAAATTACTCGATTTTTATCAATATGTTAACATTCAAGTCTCCAAAATTTAAAGAAACACTTTATCAGAAGCTGAAGAGATCAAAGAAGAAAATAAATTATATTCAGATCTGAACATTTAACAGATCTTTCCGTTTTTAACATTAAAATGTGAACGTGCGATGACCTACCTTATCTCCTTGGCCTGCGTTCAGATCTGGGGCCTGCACTTGGTGTTGTTGCTGTTGCTGTTCCATCAAATTATCTGATATTTTTTTCCCACCTGGAATTCACAACAATAATTCAATAAAAGACATGCACAACTAGTACCCAAGGGAAACCAACTCGATATATGAAATTTGAGATAAATTTACATTTCCCATAGCGTAGTAGGCAGTAACAAACTCTATCAAATACAAATGACACAGACTTTGGAGCATCAACACCATGATTCTGTTTTATCATTGGTTTACATGTTTCCGCTCACTAGGCTAGCCGTCATCAGAACAACGGTATAAATATTTACATAGCCGAGGCTAAATTACGACTCAGCTGTGATGTAATTCTAATTGTCTTTATCACATAGTATTAACATTACAATGGTGACATTATAGATACGTTGCATTGACAGAGTTTATATGTCAATTCTGTATGCTAGAAAATGAGGCACATTCTCCTCCAATATCTGATGATAATGTTGGAAGTAACAGTATCCATAATGGTTTGATCTTCGGAGTTGGATTAAGTTGATGATTGTTTCAATTTTTGCCTTTTTTACACGTTGGTTCATGCTGGCAATTTGTATAGTACAGAAAACATGTATGTTATGTTAATGGTTCCGCTAGCTAGGCTAGCAGTCGTCAGAGCAAAGGTATAGGTATTTACATAGCTAAGATTTAAATAATGGCACTATCACAATGTACATGTTATAACAATAGTCATGTATACATGGCAATGCAGTAGCCATATAATTAGTTAGATTGACAGAATTTATATATAAGTTATGCAGGCTTGAAAATGATCCGCATCCTCGTCAAATATTATGGTGAAATGTAGGTAGTGTTGGTAGTAACCAGGATTTCTTGAGTATGATTCAGATGGTGATAGGTTCATTGTGGCTTTTTTGGGGGTTGGTGCCTTCAAGTAGTAGGTGTGGTACAAAGAATATGTTTATATTGATTGACTATGATCGTCCATATAGTATGGCGCTGTACAGTATTGGACAGTTCCAGTGTCTTGAGTTGAATTCAGTTGATGATAGGTTCATCATGGCCTTTTCAGCTCCATCTTCTATGTCATCTGTATTTACATTCCTTGATGGGTTTCTATTGAATATGGTTGGGTTCTATTGAATACTGTTTTGGCTCTATTGAATACTGTTGGACTCTATTGAATACTGTTGGTCTCTATTGAATACTGTTAGTCTCTATTGAATACTGTCGGTCTCTATTGAATACTGTTGGGCTCTATTGAATACTGTTGGGCTCTATTGAATACTGTCGGTCTCTATTGAATAATGTTGGGCTCTATTGAATACTGTTGGACTCTATTGAATACTGTTGGTCTCTATTGAATACTGTTGGACTCTATTGAATACTGTTGGTCTCTATTGAATACTGCGGGGTTATATTGTGAATACTGTGGGGCTATATTGAATACTGCGGGGCTATATTGTGAATACTGTGGGGCTATATTGAATACTGTGGGGCTCTAATGAATACTGTTAGGCTCTATTGAATACTGTTGTACTCTATAGAATACTGTTGGGTTCTATTGAATACTGTTGGGGTCTTTTGAATACTGTTGGACTCTATTGAATACTGTTGGGTTCTATTGAATACTGTGGGGCTCTATTGAATACTGTTTGGCTCTATTGGATACTGTGGGGCTCTATTGGATACCGTTGGGTTCTATTGAATACTGTGGGGCTCTATTGAATACTGTTGGTCTCTATTGAATACTGTGGGGCTCTATTGAATACTGTTCGTCTCTATTGAATACTGTTTGGCTCTATTGGATACTGTGGGGCTCTATTGGATACCGTTGGGTTCTATTGAATACTGTGGGGCTCTATTGAATACTGTTGGTCTCTATTGAATACTGTGGGGCTCTATTGAATACTGTTCGTCTCTATTGAATACTGTGGGGCTATATTGAATACTGTTGGGTTCTATTGAATACTGTTGGGCTCTATTGAATACTGTTGGGTTCTATTGAATACTGTGGGGCTCTATTGAATACTGTGGGGCTCTATTGGATACTGTGGGGCTCTATTGAATACTGTGGGGCTCTATTGGATACCGTTGGGTTCTATTGAATACTGTTGGGCTCTATTGAATAATATTGGGCTCTATTGAATACTGTTGGGCTCTATTGAATACTGTTGGGTTCTATTGAATACTGTGGGGCTCTATTGAATACTGTGGGGCTCTGTTGAATACTGCCTGGCTCTATTGAATACTGTGGGGATCTATTGAATACTGTTGGGCTCTATTGAATAATGTTGGGTATCCATGTTTGATTCCTTCATGATCTGATCGATGACCGAAGACAACCATGATAACCAACACTGACAATTCTCTTTTTCCAATCAGTCCTACCATCAAATACACACAACTTATGACCAAGAGTTACGGATTAAACCTGCAGCTATCAGCTTATCTAGTAAGTAAAACATGTTTCTCCATACATCTGCCTGATATCTTACCTACAGCTTGCTGTTGTTGCATCTCCTGAGCAACCTGTAATGATAAAAAAAAACATATAGAAATGTTTGTATTTTATTTCCTGCAGAAAGATAAATCACAAATCCTTGTGCCTCATTTCATTTAGAACCATCAATGACACGTGTGTTTGTACCAAATTTCCTTTTTAAGATGAATGACACATGTTTGTATACCTGATTCCTGTACAATTTTCCTATTTCCCATACTAAAATAAATCTCATATTTTGGGAAATTGTACAAAAATCTGTTGTTTTCAGAATAACAGTGGCCTTGACCTTTAAACCTTACAACACACTCCAAGAAATTATTTATAATTACGTAACAAAGCACTCTATGAAATCAGTCAAACATAACTTGACATATCATCCTGAAATACATTTTTATTTGATGAAAACATAAACATAAACATAAATCTTTTATGAAAACATATTTATAATCCTACCTGATTATGCTGAGCAGCTAAGTTGTCTCCCCCTACATTATGATGATCTCCCACTATTGGGTTGTTCCCCATAAATAATCCCTTATTTTGTAGCTGTCCTTGGACTGGTTGAAATTGAAGGTTTTGTTGGACCTGTTGCTGATTAAGTAGTGGTTTGTTTTGTTGAAGTAGCCCTTGTTGTTGTTGGGGTTGTAACCCCTGTTGCTGTTGTAATAGTCCCTGCTGCGGCTGTTGTTGTCCTTGGAGTTGTCCCCCTTGCTGTTGTGCTTGCTCCAGTTGTTTTTGAGCTTGAGCTAGCTGTAGATTCTGTTGTTTAACCTGCTCCTAAAAGTAAACACAAACTCACATTTCAGGATTTAACATTCTAGAAAAAAAATTCTAATTACATTTGTGGTAAAATGATTTCATAAAAAAGATTTGACAATCTTTATACATTGTAACACTACATCAATCAAACATTTCCTATATGTTCTAGCAAAATTATTCTCATAAGTGTACATTTCAACTTTACCACCTTAAAAGCTACTGCTGTATTCCTTTTTATGGGGTTGCTTGTGCCTTCTATAGACACAGGAGTTAAAATCACAAAGAAATAAATAATTACAAAATTACCTTGTTATTACATCTATGACATTATAGTTATAGTCCCACTGGTTAATACCTAGTATAAAGCTGTGATCATTTAAATTTCATTTTTTACCAATGAATCCCAACAGAATTTTTTTGTTAATTTAGGTTGCACAAGATGAGGTAAAATGAACAATAGAAGTGAGAATAAATGCTTACTAATTGGTTTGTTTGCTTTAGATTCTGATTTTGAAATTTTGGTCCTGATTTTTATAGCTGCAGTACTTTTACAAACAAACACTTGTATTTATCCTGCAATATGCCAAGTCAGGGAATACACCTAAACATCTGTCTGGGACATGCCTGATGAGTATTTAAGCATTTAATGTGAACTTCTTTTAGAGAAAGGGATTTTACATTGGTAGGTAACAGGAATATCCACGAAAAGCCATGTCGTCAAGCAGGTACCCCTTAAGTTTTCATATCCATTTGGGGAATCAAATTGATGAAACAGGATGTAAGGTGTGAGTGCTAACACTCTGCTATCATTTGTTGGCTTTTTCACAGCATTGCTGTTTGCATAATCCAGGATAAATATTTAAGCTCCCGTCTGATTATATTTGCCTTATTTGGTATTTAATGTTGAAAATCAATGATGAGATATTATACAGGTATTATTTCTAACTCTTGCCAATTCTTTCAAAAAAGCATAATATATATTGATTAACTTGTTTAGCTACAAATATACACACATGTATGATATACCTAACACAGAAATCTAAGGTGCGTCATTTGCATTTACACTGCAAGCGAGGATATTTGTACAACAAAAACATGCATTCCTAAAATCACCTATTATCCATAAAGGTTGACAAATGCAAGAAAGATCGCTTGCAAACATAGAACATAAATATATAAGAAACATTTCAATGCATATAATTTTACTTTATCTAAACTAAGAATTTACTGGTCAAAAATGTCAAGATTCGTCATCAGTCAGGGGGTCATCAACAAAGTCAACATCAGTCAGAGGGTCATCAACAAAGTCACCATCAGTCAGGGGTCATCAACAAAGACAACATCAGTCAGGGAGTCATCAACAAAGTCAGCATCAGTCAGGGGGTCATCAACATCAGTTAGGGGGTCATCAACAAAGTCAACATCAGTCAGAGGGTCATTAACAAAGTCAACAAAGTCAACATCAGTCAGGGGGTCATCAACAGTCAACATCAGTCAGGGGGCATCAACAAAGTCAACATCAGTCAGAGGGTTATCAATAAAGTCAACATCAGTCAGAGGATTATAAACAAAGTCAGCATCAGTCAGGAGGTCATCAACAAAGTCAACATCAGTCAGAGGGTCATTAACATCAGTCAGGGGGTCATCAACAAAGGGGGTCATCAACAAAGTCAGCATCAGTCAGGGGGTCATCAACATCAGTCAGGTCGTCAACAAAGTCAACATCAGTCAGGGGTTATCAACATCAGTCATGGGGTCATCAACATCAGTCAGGGGTCATCAGTTAAGTCAACATTAGTCAGGGGGTGTTAAACTCATGCTGTTATGAATTTCTTTTAACTTGTTAGATCTTGTATTTATTAACATGTTGACAGATAGTGTTGGGGACAAGCTACATAAACTTAGTACTCTACTGACATGTGCAACAACTGCCTTTGATATTTCATCAGCACAAAAAAGTATGACCAAAGAAAGAAGACAAACACAATTGAGATTCTTCGTATCACGATAATGGCCTTGAGATAATTTATTTACCATTCTAATAGCTGTGTGTGAAACAAAGCTATATATATATTTGTGTTTGTTCAAAACAACTTAATTGCTTTTTTCTTTCAAACTAAAATGAAACACCATGATAGTAAATCCATACAACACTCAAAAAATTATCCGAATACAACATTGTCAAAAACAAATTATTAATACAACACACACACAAAAAGAAGAGAAAAAAAAAAGAAAAAATAAACAAAAACAAAACTGAAAAAGCCAACTCATGAAAACAAATATAACCACTGAAAATGAAAGCCAATCTGACTAAAAATAAATCATTATACATCATGTGATGCATATTGAAGGTCTATATCACCTTTATATCAGATTCAAACAAAGCAGACATACTTGGTGCATATTTCTTAGGTTACTATGAACCAACCTTTTCATAAAAATTGAATTCGAAAAGTTTCATCTTCACATGTAAAGCTAATAGTGTTAAGTGTTGAAATCATATCGAAATATTAAGATGAATTCCAGCTGATTTTCATGTTTGAGCATAAAAAGTCTGCTTTTCAAATTCTAAGGCCTCTTTATCAAAATCAATATACTGTGTTTTATATCTGCTAACCTGACGGACCCGTTAGCCTTTTAACTTTATTTAAGGAAGGGCTATTTTTAATTATTATATTCTGTTTATTTATTTACAGAATCAAAGGAGTTCCAAACTGAATTTATTTGCAGAAGCAAAGCATTTCCAAACCAGTATGCTTTACAATGAATTAGAAGATACACACTGACATAGCAATATATAATAAGTATGGAATTGATATATAATGCATATTCTGTATTGATACTGACAAGCTGAAATCAAAGAGGAAGATTTCCGCATGATGTTTCAATGATTAGTCACTTTCATCAGACAAATGACCAGTGTAAAGCATACTAGCACTGATGACTAGGAGCATCATACATCTATGACCAAGTATTAAATCACAGCCAAATCAACTACAGTACATTAAATACTTTTTTCTATAACATTGTTACCATTTTACCAAGCTATTTCTATCTTAGTATACAAAAGAATATAGTACAGCTGAATTAACAAGGGTCATCTGAGACTGGTTATGTTTCCCGATTGGAACAAAATTGAAGTTTCTCCTACTTCTTGAGATATATCTAACAAGTAAGTTTCATGTTGATACCTCTCATAGTTTTAGTGTAATGCTCCAGACAAAATTTAAGTATGAAAAATAACAAAGGGCAATAACTCCTAAATTATGCAAAAGAGATTGATGGTTCTGGTGCACTGCACTTCTCCTCGTTGAAATCTATCTACCTATGAAGTTTATGTTGATATCTCTTATAGGTTTTGTATTTTGCTCGAGACAAAATTATGATGGACAGATGGAAAAAAATGGTGACTAATATTCTCTCCCTTCGGGGAGCATAAAAACTGTTTGATTCCTCACTGTCTCTACATTTTCATCTTTACACTTCATATGTCAGTGCTAGTACACATCACACTGACAATTTATCTGGTGATTATACAGTGATCAAAATAGCATGCTCAAATATTTTACTGGTTGTGTTATATGAACTTCTATTCTATTGACATCACCAAGCTGCAGAAAATGTTCCAAAATAACAGACTGTGCTATCTACCTTGTCTTCATATCTTTAACAGATATTTCACCTTTTAGTTGATACACTGAGATACACTTAATATCATGATCCATACATCAGTGTAAAATGTGATATTAAGTGGATAATGACATTAACAGTAGTTCATGATCCCAATATTGTATGTGTTTAAACTTTTCATACTCTTAAATTGTAAATATAATTAATTACCATCGCATTAATTTTCATGGCTACTTCTTGATTTTCATGTACTATTATCAAGAGTCTGGTTCTATAGAGAACTATATATATGCCTTTTCCAAAGGATTTCAATATGTTAAGAGTCCACAACTGTAAGTCATATTTGACCTATAGCCAAGTGATGTAGAGACAGCTGTTATAATTTGGACTTAGCTACATATTATACAATAGAATTAGAATTACAGATATATTAGAAGAACTTGATATTTTTTTTAAAGTTTTTAATCAACCATACTACTCCCTAATTAGTACCTATTATTGAAAGTTCAGAATATTGCATTGAAAAATGCCATGCATGTAAAGTATTAATCTTATAAATTCATTAATCAGTAATTCAGCCAGAATCCACCTTAATGACAGCCAAAGATTGAACAAAAAAGTGTCTATAATAATATGTGTTTGTATCAAAATTGCACCTTTTCTGTTTCCAGAGTTTTCAATCGGTGTTGTAACTGTGCAATCACAGTCTGTTCTGAGTAGAATTTATCCTGTAAAATAACATGTTCGTTAAAGGCTATATAAATGTATATTTTATTTCTATCATTATCCTTTTCTTCAAACTGCAAGCAACCAGCAATTTTTACCCTGTGAACAAAAACAAATGTTAAGTATTCATGCTAAGTGATCTCATCACATCTCAATAAATATCAATATGCCCAAATGTATTACTTGTATAACCGATATATTTACAAATGTAGGTCGCACAAGCCTAATTAATGATTCGGCTCAAGAATCCACATTTCTGGATTATATAACTCACTGCAAGAAATATTTGACCAATATTTGTTTTTTGGCACCTTGAAATTTCTGGGGTTGAAATCACTTGCAATAAGTGATTGCTTGGAATTGCAAAGATCATTGATGATCGTGACTTTGAAATTCAGAGGATGGCTTTTTGATAATTAATGACGGCTTTTTGATATTTTTCATCGATATTTACATGGACAAATGACCTTCAGATTTCCATGTTGACTTCCCAGTTTTCCAAATGACATCCCACACCACCTCATGCACGCACATTCGTAAATACATATCTTGGTAGTAATACATTTTGTATACATGCACTGACAAACATTATGGTGGTTCTTCAGAACCTGTAATGAAAGTGTTATCCCATGCTGTCCCTGTACCATTACACCGGTCTC